GAAAGAGTTCGAAGAACTTACTTTAAATATGGTGGCCAGCGAAAATCTCTCTTTAGAGGTGACCTTTAAATCCAGACTGAAGTTTAAAGCTCAGAAGAGCTAGGATAATTGCATTCCAGCAAAGAGAACGCATGTGCAAAGGTCCTGAGGCAGGGAATGGCTTGCTATTTTCGAGTTATTAAAGGAAAGCATTGTAACTGGAACAGAGTGAGCCAAAGGGAAGAAAGGCACAAAATGAGACTGGAAAGATAAGCAGGGTCATATTCATGCAAGACCTAAAAGGCCTTGGTAAGGAATTAGGATTTTATTGCAAGTGTGACAGGAAAGAGAGAAGTGACATCATCTCGTTTAAGCTTTAAGACCTCCCTGTGTGAAGACATGACTTATGGGGTAGTCTGATAAGTTCTTATTGCTTTTAGAAGTCTTTCAAGGTTTAGAGAAGGCTTCACAGAGAAATGAAAGTGGGAATAAAAGAATACAAGAAAAACAAGATGTTAAAAATGGACATAAACGCTCAAAGTAATAGGACAAACCATATTCATGTTGCTTAGAATATTATTTGGTTCTTGACAATACTCTCCTAGACACTGTCACTCTTGAAAAAGACATAACATCACATAAAAACAGTTCCAAGTTGCTGAGCAGACACTTGAAATAGATTATCTGTGGTTAGGGATGACCCCAAGGAGATCTTACACATACTGTCACATCTGGGCTTTGACGTGGTCATACTACATAAAACCTCTTCCCTGGTACATACTACATCTCCTGAAACAGCAAGAACAAAAGAGGCCGGCCTACCCTTTGCAAGGGTAACTTGGGCTCATCTTAGAGGAATGCAGGTGTGGGACACCGGTACAGCACTAAGAACAAGAGAAGGGACGGGGCTAGCCAGTGAGAGCTGCCCCGGCTGTGCCACAGTCTGCATTCCGCCCTGCTCTTCTGCATTCAACTGCTGCTGCGAGAGAGAAGCTTTTTTTTTTTTTTTTGAGAGAAGCTTTTTAATTGAACAAAACTTTATAGAATTGTTTTAGCAAAGTGTAAATGGAGAGACAATTCGATTGTTTAACAATTTCTGTTTCTTGTCCTGAAGTTTTACGACATTTGATTTTTATTTTTATTAGCTATGGCTTCATTCTTCTTTGAAAATGAGAAGTGAGCATACGATGGGGCCATAACAGGGAAAAGCCACAACCAAATCAAAGACTTGGAAAGAAAATTAATAGCAATGCAAAAGAAAAACC